TTTTGCTAAAAGGTCAATTTCATCCTGGTGGGGGCAGGAGTCAAAACAGTTCTGGGCCAAATAACTTTGGGCACACAGTTCACTCTACATAGATATTACATTTATTGAGCTTCTAAAAAAAGATTTACTTATTTATGCATACAAGAACTGAGGTGTAAGACAGAGGTGCCAGGGGGGTTGTGGGTGGTGAGAGGATTCACCAGAGAAAGTGGGGAGCAGAACAGACAGATCTATAGAGGGAGCAGCGGGAGAGGCAGGAGAGGTCTGCTGCACCAGGTGGGTTAAGGTGGGTTAGCTCCCTGGCCGCCAGAGAATTGAACTGGTGCTGCTGTGGCTGGTGATAGCTTGATAGCGCTGTGTCTTTAACCCCTGGGCAACCAGGGAGGCCATAGTTATTGAGCTTTTTAAAAAGATTTATTTATGCATACAAGAACTGGGGTACAGGCCGGAGGCATGGGGGGGTGGTGAGAGGCTTCACCAGAGACAGAGCGGGGAACAGAACAGGCAGAGCGACTGAAGTACACTGCTGAGGGGAGCAGTGGGCGATACAGGAGAGGTCTGCTGCGCCATGTGGGCTGCTCCCTGGCTGGCCGGGAATTGAACTCTTGCTGCAGAGGCTGCAGATTGCTTCATAGTGCGGTGCTTAACCCCTTGCGCCACCCGGAGGCCTGAATCTGCCTTATTTTTATGGTTCCCTGATTGAAGGTTTCTTTGGTGATCTATTAATTTTTCAGTAATATTTTCTCACTCTCTCCATGGTCTGATGACTTGCAAACTGGCATGACACCATGAAGAGAGATCCTTGGTGTGGGCGGAATGGATCAGCTGGAGGCCTTACCACTTCCAACTGCTCAGCTTTGCTTGAGGGTGGACCCTACCCCCACCCCCACCCCCAGGACAGGGCCAGCAGCTGTGGGAAGGGTTGCAGGGCCCTCCAGCGGGCTCTTTGAGCATTACATCCAGCCCCGGAACTCCAGATATAGGACTTTATTGGGGTTGCAACTTTTATTATTTACTGTTACCCCCCTAACTGTATAGCACGATGTCCATTAATCTGTAAGTTTTATCATGGTGTGACTGTTCTCTGCCAGGACAATAGCCCTTTTTCATAATAAAAAAGGAGACCTTTCAGTTATTTTTTTGCAGTCTGCACCCATTGCTATGTGATGAAAATGCTACTTTACGTGCTCTAATCTTTCTAATGAGTATAGCAGAAAGGGTCTTGGAGAAAGAAAGGTCATGGAGAGGAGGAGGTGCATGTTTTAAGTTGAATTCTGAGAGTGATTTCAAGAGCAACAGATTTGGCAGACAAGACAGAATTGCTGAATAGGTATTGGCTTGTGCCTTTATCAGTGACGTCTCATAGTGTTAAGCACCTTGGGGTAATCACATTTGGGTGTCCTGCCTTTTCTTGGATTTAGCCTACCCTGGTGGAGCAGAGCTCTAGTGACAACTCTTGCGCGCGCGCGCGCGCGTGTGTTTGTGTGTGTGTGTGTGTGTGTGTGTGTGTAGGAGGCCTAGAGAGAAGCAAAAATTTTCCACTAGATTGAAGTCAGTAATGAGCTGAAACACTGTATACAAAAGGGGCCTCAAAATTTCAAGGACATCTTTTTAAGTTCTGTTATGTAAAGCAGTCTTTTACTTTGCCTTTCTTAGTTGTGCCTGTTTTTGGTTCCATTTGTTCCGAGTCTTTTACTGAGTTAGAGAGCCAGGAGATTAATGAGTTTGTACATCTTCCACTTGTAGGAGAATGGTTTTCTTTTTGCGATGTCTTTTCCATATTTTCTCTAAGTTCAGCATAATTGTGCTTTCCTGTTTTTTAAGAATTGGTAGGGGGCCTCCCCGGTGGCGCAGTGGTTGAGCGCTGGGTTGCGAAGCTGCCCGCAGCCTCTGCAAAGCCGGTTCGATCCCCGGCTGCTCCCCGGCCACTAGAGGAGGGTCCCACATGGCACGCAGACCTCTCCTGCTGCCCGCTGCTCCCCTCAGCAGTGTACTTTGGTCCTTCTGCCTGCTCTGCTCCCTGCTCTGGCTCTGGTGAATTCTCTCATCCTCCCGCGCTTCTGACTGTACCCAGTGCTTGTATAAATAAATAAATGAATCTTTGCAAAAAAATAAATAAATGAAAGAGTATACCTTTAAAAAAAAAAAAAAAAAAAAAGAATTGGTAGGGCCTCCCCGGTGGCGCAGCGGTTGAGCGCTGGGTTGCGAAGCTGCCCGTGGCCTCTGCGGCGCCAGTTCGATCCCAGGCTGCTCCCCCGCCACTGGAGGAGGGTCCCACATGGCGCGCAGACCTCTCCTGCTGCCCGCTGCTCCCCTCAGCAGTGTACTTCGGTCCTTCTGCCTGCTCTGCTCCCCGCTCTGGCGCTGGTGAATTCTCTCACCCTCCCGCGCTTCTGACTGTACCCAGTGCTTGTATAAACAAAACAAACAAACAAATAAATAAATAAATAACATGCCTCTATTAAAAAAAAAAAGAATTGGTAAATGCTTTATTTTTAAAATATATCCGCTCCTATCTTTTCTTTTTTAAAAAAATTTATTTTTTATTTATACAATAGCTGGGGTACAGGCCTGAGGCGTGGGAGGGTGAGAGGATTCACCAGGGACAAAGTGGGGATCAGAACAGGCAGATGGATAGAAAGCACTGCTGAGGGGAGCAGCGGGCCCGACAGAAGAGGTCTGCCACGCCATGTGGCTATCTCCCTGGGAGGCCCTCAGGGGACATTTTAATCCTTAGCCCACATATTTCATTTCATTATTGTTGGATCAGCTTTACATTTAGTCCTTAGTTTCTGTGCTATTTTAAACAGAAGTAATTAGAAGCAGTTGAGGTGGGGATAGTGAACAAAAATCTTACAGAGCTTTGAGTGGGTTTTGTGTAGTTTGTCTTTGATAACTATGTAATGTTTCAAAATAAAGTTGCTATTTAATCTACCATTGAATGGAGAAAGTTAGGATTGGTTTGTTTTCTTATCTGAAAAAAAAAATGGGGAAAGAATCAATGCCTACTTTATAGGACTGTTGTGAGAATTAAGGTAATATAAACAAAAGGAACTTTGAGAATGGTGAAGTGAGGTACGATATGTATTATGTAGGAGGGTTTAGTTTATTGACTGTATTTCAGACTTGCCCTTAATACATTAGTACTCAAATTTAGAAGATAATTGTGATACACAAAATTTTGTATTATCTGAGCCTTTTTTATTTTATTTTTTTTAAAGATTATTTATTCATACAAGAGCTGGAGCACAGGCCAGAGATGCGGGGGGAGGGTGAGGGGGTGAGAGGATTCACCAGAGACAGAGTGGGGAACAAAACAGACAGACTGACTGAAGTACACTGCTGAGGGGAGCATTGGGCGAGACAAGACAGGTCTGCTGAGCCATGTGGGTCACCTCCCTGGCCTGGGATCGAACTCCTGCTGCAGTGACCGAACTCTCGTGCTGCAGTGACCCACTGCTTCACAGGTTGAATCCTAACCCCTTGTGCCACCAGGGAGCCTAAGCCTTTTTTAGGTCTTTGAGGGTAAAAAAAAAAATCCTTTTCCCCTTTTGAGATGGTAATCCCGGGCCTCCCCGGTGGCATAGCAGTTGTGCGCTGGATTGGGAAGCTGCCCGCAGCCTCTGCAGTGCCGTTTCAATCCCTGGCCGCCAGGCGAGGGTCCCACTTGGTGCGCAGACCTCTCCTGCCGCCCGCTGCTCCCCTCAGCAGTGTACTTCGTCGGTCTGCCTGTTCTGTTCCCTGCTCTGGCTCTGGTGAATCCTCTCACCCTCTCACCCTCCTGACTATACCCAGTGCTTGCATAAATAACTAAATCTTGAAAAAAAAATTAAAAAAATTTAAAAAATGAAATGCTAATCCCTATGGCTGCAATTGTGTTGTCACTGTCAAGGTTACTGTGATAATACTCCAGGATATCTTTCCACAGTCCTCTATTCCTTAGTTTTGTTAACTGCCCTGCTTCCACTGTTAGATTTGTCTTAATATAAAGAAACCAGAGTTGCCTGCATGTCAAGGGGGCATACTTCCTGTGCTTTCAAACAGAGCTCAAAGACTTTTCAGTGTTGCTCTCCAGATCCTTCCAAAAGATGCCCAGTATTGTGGGACCTTTTAGATAACAGCCACACAAGGAATGGAAGGATTCAGGGGCTCACCTAGAATAACTCACATCCTAGAATTTAAGATTTTCTTTCTAATTTTGTACCCCAGTCTTATGTTTCACCCCACTTGAAGTTTCTTTACTACTTTACTTGGGTGTGAATGTACAGTTGTGTAATTTACATTTGCTTGTCTGACATTCTTCTACCTAGAATAATACCATCTCATTAGAAATTCCTTCCTCTAGATGGGCGCTTTCCCACCTCACTGTACATCAGAATAGAGCTTTAAGCTATTGCTTAGGCCAGCCCCACCCCCAGAGGTGGGAGGGGGGAGGGGTACAAGCCTGCAGGCCGGCCTGCTTTACCCATTGTTACAGAAGCACCCAGGTAAATAGTGTACAGCCCAGGTAGAACATCCCCCTATTCCTCGGTAATGTATCCGTGTTCTTAGTTTCTCCTCCAGTCTCTTGAGACTCACTGTTGACACTTTTGCTTCCAGATTCAGATCCATACATTTCAAACCTGTCTAGGTTCCCCAAGTCTGATGAAGTACTCTTTCTAGTTCTTCCACTCCATTTTTCTAGTACTTGGTGTCATACCTAGTTGGAGGCATTTTTTGAAAGCTCTTAATTGTTGGGTCCTACTGAGCTACAAATTGCTCACACTATGGGCTCTGCGCCCGCAGGTACTCGGGCACTGCCACAGCCAACACTTGTAGTTCTTGAAATTATTGTTGAACATGGGAGTTACTCAGTGGGTATTTGTTGATGCAAATTAGTTCGTCCTGATTTCCCCTTAGAGGCATACTCTCCTTATCAGAGGTACCTGGGCTATGGTTCACACCCCATGGTGGGCTGCTTGTACTGAGTATCTGATCCCCTTTATCTCCTCCTGTTTCAGTTGCCGCAGCTCATGCTGTTGCTGAGGAAAGAAGAAGTCAAAGTGGGTTTCACTCAGTCCCTTTCCAGTCTTCCAACACAAGAACTCCGTGCAAGCCTGGTATAATTTCTAGAATGCTTTGGTGTTCAAGTGCCACCTCTTCATTTTTTGATACCTATGCATGCCTAATTATGTATTTTTTTAGTAATCGATGGATCTGTGCTGAGGAATGACATGAAACAAAAGCTGGCGAAAGAACGTAGAGAAGAAAAACGAAGACAACAAGATGGTATCGTAGACTTTTTTAAAATCAAAATGAATGGATTTTGTGTTAAAGTTACATATTTCCCAAGGGGCTTTACTGACTTTTCCTAATCTGCTTATATGATATTGATTACACTGTTTATGTATTGTACTAGATCTAATGCTTATAGTAAAATGAGCTAGAGAGGACCAGTGAAAAATATTTGACTTAAATTGTTGGATTTTTGAAGTGGTTTCTCTTAGCTTTAATTCTTCTGTAAAGTATGAAAATTTCTTCAAATTTATAGAAACAAGTAGAATGGGATTTCAATAATAATGATTCTAAAGATGAAACTGAAGTCGCTCATTGTTCTAACATAAATACTGATGATGTCTTTTACTGATTGCCAGGCTTCTCGAATGTAACTTTTGTGTTGATTAGAATCTAAATTAAGATTTCTTCCAACACCTACAGAGAGAATGCTTTTTCAACTATGTGTTTTTCTCCTTTGGGTTTCTAATTCCACTGACCAAAAAAACTAGGACTCAACTTCATTCAAATGGAATATCAGTTATCTTTGTTTTGGTCAAGGAGCAGTTTCTTCCTGCAGCTCTTTGGGAGTGTTTTACAATTGCATAGATGCTCTCTAGGCTTTAGTCAGGGGGAATTTGAATATGGGAAAGCATCTTGCTGTTGAATAATCTGCTCTGTGGCAAAGTCCAGGAATGTTAACCTAGAATGCTAACCATGGTCCCTAGAGATGAGGCCTCTGAAAGGCGTTTCCTAGTAACAGGAAAAAGAAATATTCTGACCTTGTGTATTTTTTTTAATTCTTATTTTTAATGTACAGCATGTTAACTGGGGGTTTAACTTCAGCTCAAATCAGTAGAACTATCACATGAAAGAACATATTTCTTCTTGATTTGGGATTTTAGTTGGACAGGCTGAGAGTCATCTAAGCTAATTCAGTTCTCTGGGGTTAAACGAACGAACACCCAGCGAAAAGGTTTTTTTAGTAGCCATCTCTTATAATAGTAAATTTTATTATTAAGATGTATAATAGTATATATATACGATTTATAATAATGACTCTTTCACTTAATCTTTCGTTATTAGCACAGGTTATGTTATTTTTTTAAAGAAAGAATTAGCTATATTAGCCTTTTCTTTCTCTGTAAAATGGAACACTTAAAATATTTTCTTGGCTCTTATACCTTAAAAATATACTTGGAATATTTCAGCTAATAAAGAAACTCAGCTACTTGAAAAAGAAAGAAAGGCCAAAATCCTGTATGAAAAACAGCTGGAAGAAAAACAGCGGAAACTTAAAGAGCAGAAAGAAAAAGATGAACAGAGGCGAATATCAGCTGAAGAAAAAAGAAAACAAAAATTAGAGGAAGAAAGGGTACATGTTTTTATAGCCTGTTACTTAGATGCTATACTGTGTGGTCTGGATCTGGAATACTTGTTTCTTAGCCCTTCTCTGCCCTTACAGGTTTAGCCCTGGGAAGGGAACCAATGCAAATTCTTCCTTGCTTCTTCCCTTCAACATTGGAGGCTCTTGCTCCTGTCCTGATCAGATCCTCAGAGTCTAGACTCACTAGCTAAAGTCAAGAGGGGGCTTGGAGATACACAGAATTAGAGGCCTGTCCACACCTCAGGATGAGGCGTGTGGCCTGAGGTTTGCGCCAAGTACCTCTCTTGCTTACCAAAGACAGTGCTGTCCAGGTGCCTAGTATTCACAGGCCCAGCTCAGTCCTTCCTGACAGGCTGGGCCTCTCTGCTTCCTACAGTTCCCCTAACTGCCACGTCAGTCTCTGCCTTCCCTTCTGCAGAGCCCTAGTTCCCTCTGCTGTGCGCTTGCTGTCCCCCTCCCCTAGGTTCCTCACAAGCCCTTTCATTCTCTCTTGTTTTGTAGCTCCCACCACCCTTCCATTCTTCCTTCTAGGCAGTTTTGTGGTGTCTTTGGCTCTCTGTTGGTATGAGTCACTGCCTGGGTTACGCCCTCTTTCCCCCTCTGTCCCTCTTCAATTTGTCCTGTGTTGTTTATACTCGGACATTTGGCTACCTATTGCATTCTGTCTTATTCTCTTGGGCAGCACATTTTTCTTCTGTAGTAGTATCCTTGATTCCTGAATCTGGCATATTCTCTCACGCCTTTCTCTTTCTTGCTGGCATTCTCTCTCTCTCTCTCTAGTCCAATGACTCACAAGTTCCCCTAAATGTCTTTGTCCTCTGATTCTCTGACTCTGGCCTTTTTCTGCCTGGGTGCCTCACTTTTCTTTCTGCTTCTTTTGTCTTAAATGTCTGTTTTCCTCTCGCCATTTTTGGAATTTCTGCCTGTTCTCTCAGTATGTTCTCTCAGTATGCCTCTTGTTCTCTCTGCCTTTCCTACTCTAATGTTTACATTTTTTTTTTTCTTCGCTTCCATTTCCCTCCTGTGAGCTGTCCTCCCTGGAGCTTTCTCTGTGGTACTCACCTTTCCTCTTTATGTGGCACATAGCAGCCCCTGCACACACCTCGCCCCAACTGGTATCCCCTCTGTGGGCATTCCTTATTCTCACACTCTTCTGCCCTGTCTGTGGGCCACTATCACTTCCTTTTTCTTTCTGAACCTTTTTCTCTGGTTTATGCTCTTGTGTTTTTTCACATTACAATATGTGATAGATTTCAGAATTTCTATTACCCTGTCTTCCCCTGTGAAACATCTCCTTATCTGTGAGAAAGAGAACAAAGGAGGAGGGGGGAAGATCCTGAGAGAGATTGAACTTTAAAGAGTACAGGCAGAGAGAACCAAAGAAAGTAAAGAAGTAAACTATGGGCAGGGTAGGAGAAGATCCCTGGAGGAAAGAAACAACCCCAAGGGCTCAGGGAAAAAGGTCATCTTAGAGAAAGATAAACATGAAAGAACCAAAATGACCCCAGACAGAGCAGGGCCATGGGACGCCGTGAGTATGCCACATGTAGGCAAGGAGCGGGAACGATTGCATAAAGCAGGGAGATGCCCAAGCTCAGTGGCACTGAGGAGAGGGGAGTGTGCGCGGGAGGTAACGAGACACGGGACAGGGGCTTCACCCGAGCCCTGAGGGCTGGACTTTTGGAAACAGCAGGACAGAACTCAAAGGAAACAAATGTTTTACGAATATAAGATTAATCTGGTTTTAGTCTTTATTATACTTTTGAGGTCTCTGAGTAATATAGAACAATTTTCTGTTAAAAGAATAATTTCTGAAATCGTGCCATTAGATACATTTTATGATAAGAACTGTAGTTGCTGTCCTCAGAGAACTGGGGCGCCTCTCCCGTTTTCCCTAGTATGTTTATCTTTGCCTTCAGAGAACTGGTGAGGGGACCTTGTGAGGATGATGTTGCTATGAAACCGCAGTTGTCAGGGTAAAAACAGGAAACCTTCTGACCCCGAAGTTGATTTGCTTACCTAAGTATAGTCCATGGCATGAGAAAAACCTGAGAAAAGGAAACTTTTTTGGCAGTGGAATCTTCACTGCAGTGTGGCATCCACATATGTGAAGCTGTGATCCTGACAAGTTTCAAAGGAGTTTGAGGTCAAGACAGACACATTATCCTTTTTATTTTTTTAATACTTTTTTTAAAAAGATTTATTTATTTGTGCAAGAACTGCGGTACAGGGCAGAGGTGCAGGAGGGTAAGAGAATTCACCAGAGACAGAGCGGGGAGCAGAACAGGCAGACAGACCAAAGACACTGCCGAGGGGAGCAGTGGGCGAGGCTGGAAAGGTCTGCTGCACTATGTGGGCTTCTTCCTCACCAGCTAGGAATCGCACCCAGCGCTGCAGAGGCTGCAGACAGCTTCACAGCACGGCGCTCCACCCGCTGCTCCACCCGCTGTGGAGGCCCACATTATCATTTTTAAAGCTTTATTAGTTTACACCAAAATTCAAGGTGTTACAAATGGTGGGCATAGTACATGACTTGCATAGATTTCACTTATACGTGTGAGTAGCTTTTTTTCCTTGCCTCATTCTACAAGGAATTTAAGGTGTGTTAAAATCCACGCCACAGCCAATGATAAAAGGTTGACAGAATCAAGCAGAGAGGAAAATTAAAGTAGGAAAATAGTAAACCCCCTCAATCTCCATACACTTGCTGGAAGAAGGCTGCAGGTCTGACTAAATTTCCTATGCAATTTCCTATGCAAAGAGGGAAGCAGGGTTAGTCCTTTGATTTAGATACAAAAGATTAAAAATGAGTTATTTAGGACCAGCACTGATATATATTTATTCCTGAGACATGTCTCCAATTATTTTTAACTTCTGCCTGCTAAAAACCAAAATTGACAATTGGGGATGTTTCATGACCCACAGATCAGAATGATACCAATATAACTGAACATTTGTTGGCATTTACTTTAAACAGGAAAGATTTAAAGCTGTTCTTTATCGAACCCTGGAACGGAGCAACCGTGTCGATCGTCAAAAAAGATGGTCCTGGGAAGGCTCTACAATGCCTTTGAATTCTGAAAGTAAAACTGGTAATTATGAGCAGTTAAACTTCAAGTGCATTCATGTTCTTGTTTCAATTTTGACTACAAGCATAGGTTGCATTCATGAAATTTAGAGTTTTGTATCCTGAACCAAAACACTGCTCTATGCTCACTGACACACACAGTACAGTAAATGTACATAAATTTTTGTCATGTGAGCTGTAAAGGAAACAGGTGAAATTTTATAATTTCACACAACATTCATATATGGTAACATAATTAACACAATTTCATGAAACAACTCGATGTCATGTAGCTTTATGAGGTGATCAACTGAAAATTGTGTGCCTACTTAATGCATGTTTCTGCTCTGTAGAATTAGATCACACACTCATTTTGTTTCAGCTAGTGCTATATGTTTTATTTTATTTTATTTTTTTTTTGGTTTTTTTTTTAAAGATTTATTTATTTATTTATACAAGCACTGGGCACAGTCAGAAGCGCGGGAGGGTGAGAGAATTCACCAGAGCCAGAGCGGGGAACAGAGCAGGCAGAAGGACCGAAGGACACTGCTGAGGGGAGCAGCGGGCGGCAGGAGAGGTCTGCGCGCCATGTGGGACCCTCCTCCGGTGGCCGGGGAGCAGCCGGGGATTGAACCGGCGCTGCAGAGGCTGCGGGCAGCTTCGCAACCCAGCGCTTAACCGCTGCGCCGCCAGGGAGGCCCCAGTGCTATATGTTTTAAATGAGTACAGTAAATATGGTATCTTTTTCAGGTGATAAACATCCTTTATCTGCTGACAAATTAGGACACGAAACTTCTGGTTTACAGAAACAAACACCTTTGTCATCTGCCAGTCTTCACAATTCTACTGCGAAGAGTAAGTAGTTATTTCATCTATTCTACTAATTTCAATGTAATGAAATCAGTTTTTTAGATTTATTTTTAGAGCGCCACTTATTCTGTAGACAGTGGAACATTTAGGTTTACTTCAGGAGAGCATCCCATTATTTCGCAGTAGGTGAGATGGTCATTACCTTTTACTCCTGGTGTTTGCCCTTGAAGTGAGTATTCCTGATTGAACACACTGTAGCTGCGTGTGTGCTGATGGCCATTTCTGGCTTGGAACACGTGGTACTTCTCAATAATGAGTGAAATGGATCTGGCAACCATATTCATGCATCAATAAAGAAAATCCTTTTTTCTCTCCAGAGGAAAGCATAGAAATGATCTTGGAAGGAAAAGGACATGGTAAACATGTCACGTCATTCCCTCAATTTTAGCCATTAAAAAAGAAGAAATAAGGTTCTCTCTGGTGGCACAGGGGTTTAAGTCTCAGCACTATCAAGCTATCGCCTCCACCCCCCCCCCCCCACTGCAATGTGAGTTAGATCCCTGGCCAGGGAGCTGACCCACATGGCACAGGAGACCTCTCCTGTTTCGCCTGCTGCTCCCCTCAGCAGCGTATTTCAGTAGATCTGCCTGTTCTGCTCCCCAGTCAGTCCCTGGTGAATTCTCTCCCCTCCCCACCCACCAGCACTTCTGGCCTACACCCCAGCTCTTGTATGCATACATAAATAAAACAAATTAAATCTTTAAAAATAAAATAAAAAAGAAGAAATACTACTTTTGTGCCCTACACATTGTAAAAGAAAAGCATGACTTCAGTTTGGATATTTTTAGATTTTTTTATGTATGCATACAAGAACTGGGGTGTAGGCCAAGGTCTGCTGCATCATGTGGGTCAGCTCCCTGGCTGGGAATCGAACTCTTGTTGTAGTGGCTGGCGATAACTTGATAGCCCTCTATGTTTAACCCTGCACCACTAGGGAGGCCCCCCTCAGTTTGAATTTTAAAAGTGTTTATTTTGTATTATTATCTTTTTTTTTCTTCTTTTGTATTATTAGGTGGCTTGACTTTTTTTTAAACTTGACTTTTTTTTAAACAATGCTGTGACAACTGTAAAGTTGTAGTGATGCTAAAGTTTCTGGCTCTCATTTAAAGTATAATTAATTGAAGATTTTCATTTTTGTCTAAATATTATACTTTAGCAGGATTTTTGTTTGGTTCATGAGTAACATTAGGTGTTTGTACTTTTAAGGCTTTCATAATTTCCAAAGATGAACTTTTGCGAGGACTTTTGCTGTGATGCACGGGTGCATCTTGTTTTCTCTTGTAATAAATAGTTTGACCCAAGCTGGTTCACATGTCACCCCACCCTCAATGTGGTTTCCCAAATCACTTTCTGTGTAGCCCAGGTTCAGTATAGATTACAGTGCGAATCTCTAGTACCTTGCTCCTCATGGGATAAAATTAACTTATTCATAGGGGTGCAGGTGCCCTTTGGAATTACTGTTTCTCTGTCATTTGGGTAAATACCTAGGAGTGGAATTGCTGGATCATATGGAAGCTCTATGTTTAGTAGGTCAAGAAATCTCCACACAGCTCTCCATAGTGTTTGGACCAGTTTGCACTCCCACCAGCAGTGCAGGAGAGTTCCTTTTTCTCCACAACCTCACCAACATTTGTTGTTGCTAGTTTTTTTAATATGTGCCATTCTCACTGGTGTAAGATGGTATCTCATGGTAGTTTTGATTTGCATTTATAGTAGCACTATTTACAATAGGTAAGCTATGGAAACAACCTAAATGCCCAAAAATAGATGACTGGATCAAGAAGATGTGGTACATATACACCATGGAATATTACTTAGCAATCAAAAAAGATAAACACATGCAGTTGGTAGCAACATGGATGGAGCTGGAAGGGATCATGCTCAGCGAAATGAGCCAGAAAGAAAAAGAAAAATACCGGATGGTCTCACTCATAGCAGGAATTTAGAAAACCTAAATAAGGGAGCAGGAAAAAGACTAATTAATACAAAGAAAAAAATCAACAAGTAACCATAAACCAGAAGATACACACTATGGAGGGGAGGGGGGGAGAGGAAAATTAGGGTCAAAATAAGGGGTGGGGGTGCAATTGTATGGAGAATATAACCAAAATGAAAATGCATACATTGTGCAAAAATGAAAAATGATGTAAGAATTGTATAAAATAAAATATTAAAAAAATAAAGGGAAAAATTAACTTATTCTTTACCAACCGAATCCTTCAGAGAAATTGGATCACACTGATTGAAATGTCATGTTTATATACTTTTATTTTAGTATGTCCTCATTATTTCACAAACAATGGTTATGTTTTGTTATCTAATTGCTTTGACGAATTTTCAAAACATTCTGTGTTTAATATGAGAAAACACTAGTGTGTTTTTATAATGTGTGTTTGCCATGTTAATGAGACATGTGAAGGGAAGGTAATGACTTTCAAGGTAGTAATTTTGTTGCTCTGAAAGAGCAATTCCTGGTAATTTCTTAAATGGTTTCTTTACTACTTAATACAAAAAGATATGTCAAGAAGATACTTTATGAAGTAACTTGCTTAAAGGTACAATGTGTTATGCTCTGAGATGATGGATGCTGTCATTGATGGTTCCAGGGAGAAAAGAAAATCAACATTGGCAGTGGCTTAAGCTTTGTCAAATCTCTTCAAATGGAAGTGAAAACTGTTCAACCCTGAGAGGTGAACATTTCAAAGTTAAATCAAATTCATAATCTGACCTGTAATGATTTTCTGTAATAGCCTTGTTTTAAATCTTGGCTGATTCAGTCTGTTTTTCTTCTACTTGTAGCTGATTCATAACTCTTCACAGTTATTTCTTACATCATGATAATAATGACTACAGGATCTAATCACATTTGACTTGCTTACGCCTGTGATTCATGCTGCTCAATTGTCAGTTCAAGATTTTTTGGATTGCTCTATTGTCCATATGTACTTCAATTTATGATAAGAACCCCAAAAGAGATATTATTCTTTTTTTTTTTTTTTTTTGGTGGGACCCTCGCTGGTGGCCGGGGATCAAACTGGCACTGCAGAGGCTGCTCGCAGCCTCGCAACCCAGCGCTCAAACCACTGCACTACCAGGGGAGGCCCAAGAGATATTATTCTTTAAGCAGGCATTCCTAAGTTTTCTTAGAATTGTTCCAGTAGAATAGAAAAGTGTCTACACATGCAACAGGTTATTTCCCCTTATGAAGTGGCTTGGGTTGTTTAAATTGTGACAGTTTTGGGTTTTTTTTTTTAATGCTTTACCACTGGTTTCCAATACAATGTATATTTGGGAGTATAAATTGTGACATCTATAACCAAATGTTAATAATGCTCATTTTTTGTTTAAAAGACACTGGTTATAACTAAAGTGTAAATTACTTTAGTGATAAGTACTATGAATTATGTTCAAAATTGAAGACTGTCTTGTTCCAAATTTGAGAGCTTTGGTGTCATCAGGTAGTATTAGACATTTTCCCTTTTAATTTTTGCCATTTTCTAAAGAACTTCATTTCAGATAAATTAAAGAGTGAGCTAGTTTTAAGTTGTGGCATGTAGAATCTCTGCATAGTATTTGGAATTTAAATTCTTTTTTTAAAAAGATTTATTTATTTATTTATACAAGCACTGGGTACAGTCAGAAGCGCGGGAGGGTGAGAGAATTCACCAGAGCCAGAGCGGGGAACAGAACAGGCAGACCGACGAAATACACTGCTGAGGGGAGCAGTGGGCGCGGCAGGAGAGGTCTGCGCGCCATGTGGGACCCTCGCTGGTGGTGGCCGGGGATCAAACTGGCACTGCAGAGGCCGCGGGCAGCTTCACAGCCCAGCACTCAACCGCTGCGCCACCAGGGGAGGCCCTGGAATTTAAATTCTTAGAAGCAAAAGTAGAGAAGATAAATGTTTGCGCAAAGGAGTAGCTTTCTCCTGAAATAATCTATTTGAAACAGTGTATAAGAAAATAATTTCCCTTTGTCCTTGATCTCTAGAAAAAACGGATAAGACAAGAAGCTCATCTTTGAATAGACGATACAGCAAACGAAATCCATCCTCAGAAGTGGAACAAGTAGAAGAAAAGCCTCTCGGTTAGTTACTTCTAAGTACAGATCTTCAGTGGTAGTTTAAAAGAGATGTATGTGTGTTGGTACTCAGTTGCTTGAAAAGTCATTCCTAAAGTTAAAAGCCAAAAAATCCCTTCTTTAACTAAATATATATATATATATATATATATATATATATATATATATATACCATGCTTATATGGCTGAAGTCAGAAAAGTTTCTTTTTTTTTTCCCCCTTAAGTATTTATTTATTTATACAAGCACTGGGTACAGTCAGAAGCGCGGGAGGGTGAGAGGATTCACCAGAGCCAGAGCGGGGAGCAGAGCAGGCAGAAGGACCGAAGTACACTGCTGAGGGGAGCACGGGCGGCAGGAGAGGTCTGCGCGCCATGGGGGACCCTCCTCCGGTGGCCGGGGAGCAGCCGGGGATGGAACCGGTGCTGCAGAGGCTGCAGGCAGCTTCGAAACCCAGCGCTCAACCGCTGCGCCACTGGGGAGGCCCCAGAAAAGTTTCTTGAAATCACTTATACCATCAGTTGAGTCAAGGGGTCTGTAATGAAGCTGAAGAGCCAGGTCATAGGATGTTGGTTTGTACTGGAGCACTTGATTCCTTTCAAACAATTTGCATTTTTAGAAGTTTTAAATTACCAGCCCTTTTTTTGAACTTCAAAGCTTTGCTCTGTTGCTTCATTACCTACAACCATCCTTTGTGCATATCTTCGCTGCTGCTGATGACTGCATGCAAAATTTTGTGTATTTACAAAATTTAAAGTTGTGTCTTTTTAACAACTTCCTCCCTAATTTCTCTGTCAAATATGATCATTGCTTTTTTATTTTTTTAAAGATTCATTTTATTTATGCATAGAAGAGCTGGGGTGTAGGCCAGAGGTATGGGGGAGTGAGAGGATTCATCAGAGACAGAGTGGGGAGCAGAACAGGCAGATCTACTGAAATATACTGCTGAGGGGAGCAGCGGGTAAGACAGGAGAGGTCTGCTGCACCATGTGGGTCACCTCCCTGGCTGGGGATCGAACTCGTACTGCAGTGGCTGCAGATAGCTTCATAGTGCTTAAACTAGACTCCTTGTGTCACTAGGGAGGCCCCTGCTTTTGTTTTATACCCAGATGTTCACTTACAGAAGAGCGTATCTTAACTGATCCAGGTTATCTTTATTAACATAAAAATTTTTTGAAGCAGGATGTTCATTTCAAAGATTCACTTCTGACAAAAGAATACAGTCTCCTGGATCTTTTGGCAATGGACTTGGCCAGTCTGTCAGTAGCATGTATCTATTTGTAGGAATCCATCAAAGTTGTTTGGTCCGTGCATAACTTTTTTCCCCATATGTGAGTTCCCGTGTAGGGACTTCATACATTGGGTATAAGTCACTGGGGTTATTTTGGGATGTTGGGTCCTTTGCTATCTTTATTTCAGGTACTGTCTTCCTAACAATATGGTCTGTTCATGTGGCCTTGTTCAGTCCTGTTATGTGTTGTTCTTGTTGCCACTAGACTCTTGTCTGGGAAAGTTATCATTTGAAGCAAATCACATTGGTCTTTTGTGTTTTGCATTTGCTTGTAAGACTTTAAACTGAATCTTTTTTGTTTGTTCTTATTATTTAGGTTATCACCGATACACCAATGTTCGGGAGAATACTTTAATCTCTCGGCTGCTAGTTCCAACGAAAGCATCAATAGCGAGAAGCAAAAGTGTTGCTTCATTGTCAGCTCCTGGTAAACAGGTTCCAGGTAACAGGGATAGGGTAGAAAGCCTAAAAGTATTAGTATTTGCACTCAAAAAACAGTTTGTATCACTTCATTTTTTGTGGTAAGGCCTAAAGCTAACTCAAATCAGTAGTTTCCCAGTAAGTGATTTTACCCAGCATCTTGTATTCTCTATTTGTGACTTCTAGCGTGGTAGAGTAGTTATCTGGATGATAGGTGACTTACAGAGATGAGATGACCAATTTTGTTTATTGTTAAGTGTTAAAGCTCTTTCAGTGTCACAGAAATAAATGTTAAAAGCACTGGATTTTAGAAGTACAGAAAAACTGAAGTGACATCAAAGTGTCACCTATTCCAGCCTCCTTTTCCCTTAAAAAACAGAAGTGTAGCATTGAGCTGCTCTTTACCTTTAAGAAATAGTGGTTGTTGAGATAAAACAAATCTTCAGGGTTAAATGGATTTTCTCATTTATAGGTTACAGTATTAGACATGCCTGGGGCTAGTAAGAAGTCCTCAGTATTGGAAAACTGCAATATAGGTTGTTCTTTTTTTTTTTTTTTTAAAGATTTATTTATTTATACAAGAGCTGGGGTACAGGCCAGAGGTGTGGGGGTGAGAGGATTCACCAGAGACAGAGTGGGGAACAGAACAGGCAGAATGACTGACATACACTGCTGAGGGGAGCAGCGGGCAAGACAGGAGAACCCTGCTGTGCCAGGTGGGCAGCTCCCCGGCCAGGGATTGAACCCATGCTGCAGTGGCTGACGATAGCCTCACAGGTTGCGTCCTAACCCCTTGCGCCACCAAGGAGGCCCAGGAATATAGGTTGTTAAAGCTGGAAGAGATTTGAAGATTCTGTCCATTCTGATTGTCTTATTACAGTGTTTTTTATAAAGATTTATTTATTTATGCATACAAGAACTGGGGTATAGGCCAAAGGTGCAGAGGGTGAGAGGATTCACCAGAGTGAGAGTGGGGAACGGAACAGGCAGATAGACCGAAGTACACTGCTGAGGGGAGCAGCGGGCGAGACAGGAGAGGTCTGCTGTACCATGTGGGTGGCTCCCTGGCCGGCGTGGTCATAGGATGCAGATAGCTTCATAGTGCTGTGCTTAACCCCTTGCGCCACCAGGGAGGCCCTATTACAGTGGTTTTTAGTGTTGGTGAATAAATACTACATTCTATTCTAAAATGGTAAATGGCAAGATCTCTGGCCTTGGTGATATTTAGATTGCTTTTTAAAAAAATAACAAGATTTGTTAATTTTCTATGAAAATCATTAGCTGTCATGTGATTAAATAGAAGTGAGTTACTGCAAACCTCAGGTTTGGGAGGAGTGCCTCATTACTGTGTGTAGTGGACCATTGCGTCTTGGTTGCGCTTCTGACTTTCAAGCTTTGCAAGTGCTGCTGCCCTGTGTTTGTGATCCATCTCACTCAATACTTGCGTGTTAGGTGTAGAATCCCTGTGATTTCCTAATGAACAGTCTCTCTTCCTGTTTTTATACTGTTACATGGTATATTTCTGTCTTGTCACATTTCTCACTGCACAGCACTTCACTTTGTTCTCCTTCACCTACAGGAACCCAGACAACATTAATCCAATACGTAAATGTGCCTCTACAGCGCCATAACACTGATGAACTAAAGGCTGCCATCGTGCTGCGCAAGTCAGCTGCCACTGTGCTGCCCCTCGAGAAAGTGGAAACACCCCCAGAGGTGAGCCAGGAAGTTCCCACTGAGGCAAGTGTGGAATCACCCTCCAAAGCCAGCACTGAAGCACTCCCTGGGGCAAGTGAGGGGGCACCTCTCATGGAGAGTAGCAAAACACCTCCTAGGGTAGACGTGGAAGCGCTTCCCCAGCGCTACAAGACGGTGCCCCCCAACGTGAGCTGTGGAGTGCCCTCTAAGGAAAATATGGAAGAACCCTCTACAAGCCTGGCCACGTCATCCAAGGCCAGCATGGAAGCATTCCCCTGGGGAAACATGGAAGAGCTCCCTGGGGTGAGCCTGGAAAGATTGCCCGGGAGTGAGGAAACCTCACCTGAGGTGAGTGTGGATCCATCACCGGAGGTGAGCATCGACTCCTCTCCAGAAGTGAGTGTCGACCCATCACCTGAGGTTAGCATCGACTCCTCCCCTGACGTGAGTGTAGATCCCTCTCCAGAAGTAAGCTTGGACTCCTCCCCCGATGTGAGTGTGGAAGCCTCATCTGAGGCCAGCCCGGACTCATCACCCAAGGCGAGTGCATCATCCTCTCCTAAGACAAGCGAGGAAGCTCTCCTCAGGGAGCATGTGAAGGTGTCCCCTGAAGCGAGTGTAGACATGTCCCCTGAGGTGAGCATGGCAAGATCTTCTGCAACGCAAGTGAGAGATTCTCCCTACATTGTTAATGCCTTCTGTTGACAAATTTGTTATAACAGTCTGTACATGTAGTTGCACAGGTTATATGCGAGGTTAGGTTTCACAGCATGAGGAACTTATTCATAGCAGTCTGCAATAAGCTTAATACAATAAGGATAACTGGCTTTAATAATTTGAAATTTTCTGCTATTCATTGTACCAGTTTTTGAGAAGCCGAATTAGGTTTTGTTTTTGATTTTTAGAATTAGGTTTTTGTTTTTGTTTTTGTTTTTGTTTTTTTTTTTAAGATTTATTTATTTATTTATACAAGCACTGGGTACAGTCAGAAGCACGGGAGGGTGAGAGAATTCACCAGAGCCAGAGTGGGGAACAGAACTGGCAGAATGACGAAATACACTGTTGTGGGGAGCAGCGGGCGCGGCAGGAGAGGTCTGTCGCGCCATGTGGGACCCTCACTGGTGGCCGGGGATGGAACTGGTGCTTCAGAGGCTATGGGCAGCTTTGCAGCCCAGCGCTCAACTGTCTGCGCCACCAGGGGAGGCCCTAGAATTAGGTTTTGAAGTAACATATGCCTTAAATTATTTTTCCAAACATGAGTTGTCTAGTGGAATTGTCAGGCTGGAGGAATGCCTCTGTATTTTATTCGGAATATTTTTCTCTTAGATAGCAAAATTAGCTGTAATAAGGTAAATGTTAGTCAAGTCTGTATTGGTCTATTTAGAAATCAGAGATGGACAAACCGGCCTCAACCCCTGTCATCAAAAGGCGCCCATCGTCGAGCATCATGTGTTATAAATGGGCATCTTCTCAAGTCGGGTGGCGTCCACCTTCTCCCGTCAGCCCAAAGTAAGTAGCTTATTTGCAACTGTTCCCAGTAGATTACCAGGACAAATTTTATGCGTTTCATAAATAACAAAGTATGCAGGGTAGCGTAAATATAAGGAAAAAGCCTTTGAAAATGGATATGCCTTAGTCTTTTAATAAGTGTCCAAATTTATGTCATTAATTCTTGATATGAAGACATTTGTGAAATCATGTGCTAAATGTTTTAGTTAGCACATTTATTACAAAATGTATCAGACTTTCTGATACATTGACTATTACTTTTTTCCCAACAGGCAACTTCAAAAGAATCGACCCCCTTCGCCTTCACCTTCACCCAGTGTGTCAAGAAGGTCTCCACCATCTCCCCTTTGTTGCAGAGTAACTCCAGTTCAGCACACGGTATTCACACCGAATGTCTTGGGTGCAACCAGAAAGAAAAAAGAAATTGTTTCTAAAGGCCCTAAAAGATGTGAGTCTGTGACCCTAAAGAAGATGTCCTATGAAGAAGGTAGGTCCCTTCACCGTGTGGTTTGTTTGGCAACGCGGGTAACCTTAAGGTGGTTTGGGTATTGGCCACTTCATTTCATTTCCCAAATCCGAGAACTTTCAGGAGCAAGCTGGCTTGCTTTTCAGATAAAAAGAGAAATGAACCAATCACTGGTGTACTTGCTTTCCCTTGCCAGAGTTTCTCAGCCCCACCCCCAGGTAGTTTTTGGAACCCGTTTTTGGAATTGATGTGTAAAAATACTGTTGGATGGGTGTGTTTGTCTAGGTGGTCCCTACACTCCCTTCCAGCCCTGACAGTGGAAGGTCTGTGAGTGGACCTCAGTATTTTCCATTCTTGGAGAGGGCACCTCAGGCCCTGTGGCCAGGGCAGGTTTCCACCAGGAGTTGTAGATCCGTTTCCACACATCGGCCATAATGTGTCTGTAACCTATAGTTTCCTGAAAGTACCCTGATGGTGTTTTGCCTGTCACTTGAGGCATTACTTAATTTTATTTTTCATTTATGTATTTATGTATTTATTTTTTAAAGATTTAGTTTATGCATACAAGACCTGGGGTAAGGCCAGAGGTGAGGGAGAGGGGGCAGTGAGAGGATTCACCAGAGACAGAGCTGGGAACAATAGGCAGCCTGACTGAAATACACTGCTGAGGGGAGCAGCGGGTGAGCCAGGAGAGGTCTGCGCCATGTGGGTTTCTCCCCGGCCGGGGATCAAACTCGTGTTTGCAGTGGCTGCGGTTAGTTAGCCTCATAGGTTGCATCCCAGCCCTTTGCGCCACCAGGGAGGCCCACGTTACTTAATTTTATTTTATATTTTTTATTTTTTTAAAGATTTATTTATTTATACAAGAACCGGGGTACAGGCCAGATGCACGGGAGGGTGAGAAGATTCACCAGAGACAGTGGGGAACAGAACAGGCAGACTGACGAAATACACTGCTGAGGGGAGCAGCGGGCGCGACAGGAGAGGTCTGCCGCGCCATGTGGGACCCTCGCCGACCGGCCGGGATCAAACTGACACTGCAGAGAGTGCGGACAGCTTCACAGCACGGCGCTCAACTGTCTGCGCCACCAGGGGAGGCCCCACATTACTTAATTTTAAATAAGCTAGAGAATTTTGCTTTTTGAATAATTCCACAATGAATGCTTTGTAACAGAAACTACCTTTTTATTACAAATTATTCACTCCCAGTGTCTTAAAAGCCTCCTTTTCATATATGGTCTGTTTCAAATAAAGAGAATGCCTTGGTCAGGATAGTCTGGCGTTCTTGGTTCTCTCTCGTTAGCCACTTTATAGTGAATACTGTTACCATCCTTTAGCTGACAGTAATTGGTCAAAATGATGCATGCATTTCAAAATATATGCTGGATGGGTTTTTATTTAGTCAAGTATATGAGATTTGCATGCCTCATTTGGACTGAGCATAAGCTTGTATTCCTTTACTTTCAGTTGTCTTTATCTCTTTTTCCACAGGGTCAGTTTATTCAGGTATGTCAAACAGCTTAACCAAAGTGGAAGTGATTGTCAAAAATAACATTTCATTTGGAAGTGGTTTTCTTTTTCTTTAAGATTTATTTATTTATGCATATAAGAACGGGGGTACAGGCCAGAGGTGTTGGGGGGTGAGAGGATTCAGCAGAGACAGAGTGGGGAACAGAACAGACAGACTGACTGAAATACACTGCTGAGGGGAGCAACAGGCGAGACAGGAGAGGTCTGCTGCGCCATGTGGGTAGCTCCCTGGCTGGGGATTGAACTCGTGCTGCAGAGGCTGCGGACAGCTTCACAGTGCTGTGCTATAACATACCCTTGTGCCTCCAAAGAGGCCCTGGAAATGGTTTTCAAGAAAAAAAGCTAAAGCAGAAGGTTTTTATGTTGTCAGAGGTTGTTGGGGTTTTGAACAAATCTGTTATAATCCCTCATAAATTGCGTGCTATTGATACAGCGTAGATTATATACATACTATTTGTGGTTTTAATATTGTCAGTCATTAAGACCTCTTTGTTAGACTAAGAGAGTCTGTTCCCTAAACTTATCATTCATTTTGCTTGTTAATTTAAACTAGAGTCTTGTAATAAAAGCTCACCAGGAACTTTGAATGCTGAGGAGGCAACGAAAATTTTGGCAGAAAAACGACGCCTTGCTCGTGAACAGAGAGAGAAAGAAGGAGAATTCCAAGAGGCAGATGCAAGGTTAGCACAAAATCATCCTCTCTGTCCTGTAACTCTTGTATTATAAATTCTCAAAGGGTAGTTGACATTCCTTCAATTTGAAGCAGAGGGGACACTGGTGGCGGGCTCTGTACCTCAGACACAGGAGGCCTGCTGTCAAATGGAGGCAGCAGCCTCACCAGAGCATTGTGTGCGCCTTCACTGGTGTCAGCCCCAGTTGATGTTGCAGAAGTTTTCTGTAACTTCAGAATTGGCAAAGCTGGGAAATACACTTCCTTGTGTTTTACTAGGGGCCTTGGTGGCAGACACCTGCACCTCAGCGGTCACCACTGGAAGGCTGTCTGTGAGCACCAACACAGTTGTGTGTATTCTCACTCCCTCTAAAGCTTTCCTGACCCTCTCTCTTGTGGCCCCTTGGACTTGACGACCCTGTAATAGAAACTTGTGTCCACTGCTGGCAAGGAAGGGCCATCGTCAGACTTTGTGTCTAAGTGTTAAGTGTTTTTTGTTCCAATCACATGTTTTCCATATACTTGATAGGGTTTAGGAGAGAGGACAAGGAGAGATTACCCTTTAGGTAGCTCTTAACTAGGAGGATATTGGTCATTGCTTCATGGACACAGTGCTAACTTAGCATTTTTAAAAAAAAAATTTTTTTTTGTTTTGTTTGTTTTTGTTTATACATGCACTGGGTACAGTCAGAAGCGCGGGAGGGTGAGAGAATTCACCAGAGCCAGAGCGGGGAGCAGAGCAGGCAGAAGGACCGAAGTACACTGCTGAGGGGAGCAGCGGGCGGCAGGAGAGGTCTGCGCGCCATGTGGGACCCTCCTCCGGCGGCCGGCGAGCAGCCGGGGATCAAACCGGCACCACAGAGGCTGCGTGCAGCTTCCCAACCCAGCGCTCACCCGCTGTGCCACCAGGGAGGCCCTAAAAAAAAAAATTTATTTATGCATACAAGAACTGGGGTACAGGCCAAAGGTGTGGGGGGGGCAGTGAGAGGATTCACCAGAGACAGAGTGAGGAACGGAACAGGAGGATCGACTGAAATACACTGCTGAGGGGAGCAGAGGGTGAGTTACGAGAGGTTTTCTGTGCCATGTGGGTAGCTGCCAGGCTGGGGATCGAACTCGTGCTACAGTGGCTGCGGATAGCTTCATAAGTTGCATTTTAACCCCTTGTGCCACCAGGGAGGCCTTAACTTAGCATTTTCTAGGCTCTGATTTGTGAACTGGGCTTCCTACCTTCTGGCACCACCAGATCCTTCTCTGAAGAGTATCCCTATTATGCCCCCACGTGAGGTTGGGTGTAGGCATGTGGTGGGTGCGGCCTTTTGCATAGATCCCCTGTGTAAAATAGTTAAGGGGTGCTGACATTGTTCCATTTAAGATGCGAAGATGCCCATTACATGATAGAAATCTTTTTTCCACTCCCAAGGGCTCCCAAGGGAAACCCTTCTCCATTTAAAAGGGGTGAACTCTTACAAATGCTCTGTAGTCAGTGTGGCATCCATAGCAATTATATCATATACTATCTACAGGCAATTTAACTATAAAAATGCCCGTACTACTGCCAGCTGTAGATGTAGTAGAGACTAAGGTGAATACTGAGTTACTTAAATACTCTGTCCTTAGGCAAGAGAAGCATGTGACAGAACCAGCAGGTGAAGACCAAGAAGCCTCAGAATTTGACGGAGGGCAACAGCCAAAAGAGACAAAGACAAGTGGCCACAATCAAGATGAGCAGAGAGGGCAACATCAGGTGTGCCGGCTCTCCATTTGATCTGGGATAAGAACCAGATTATAAAATTCAGTTGAAAATCAAACTGAATTTGGTTTTTTTTCTGGCTTCCGCAAAATCAGACGAGCAAATGCTGCATTGTCAGGTTGCCGTTTTGACATTACAGTCTAGCTTGTTACCCTGTGCTGCTGCAGGTCCTCGCATCCATGCTTGGCAAAATCCTGGAAGGTTTTCCAAGCAGCAAGTATCTAGGTCTAGATTAGCAGCCCTTTTAGCGTACTTACATAAACAGTACCACAGCTTACTTTCAGGAAATCCAAATGCTCATGCCATCCTGTGAGTGATCTCCAACCCTGGATCTTGAAGTGACGCTGCCCCCCCCACCCCCCCACACCCAGATAGATAAATATTACAAATAGCTCTGAAAGTTTAAAGTCAATAAATCTCCCAATAGGAATGTGTCATCCACATGCATTCAGATCACCAGGTAAATCCCAAATGAAGCTCAGGCTACTCAGTTTGAATAATTTACATTGCCCAATTTATATTCCAGTTTGAGTATCATTGATCACAACCGGTCCCGTGTTACATAAATGATTTTAGCTCGGGAAAGCACTTTTCAGAATCTTCTCGGTGCTTTTGAGAAGCGTAACACTTTTGCCTGCTGTAGCTACACTATCATATCTGGTCAAGCCGGTGCTCTGATAAGCACTGCCGCGAGAACCCTGAGGTGCTGCAGGGGGCAGACATGCCTTCTAAATCCTCATGATGGTCAGCCTGGTTTTGCACTTTCAAGTTCATGCTTTGAAAACAGATCGTCTACACACGTTGTGCATGTAGGCACTCAAGAGGCTAATGTTCTTTTCCGCTGGGTCACATTTGCCTGTTTGACTTTTTAAACTGGTGTTCTCTAATGTCCTTCAGACATAATGAAATTAAATGACATCTTTATACAAATTTCCTAGAAAGGGGACACCAAAATAAGAGCTCAGGAGGAGGCCGACAAACGCAAGAAGGAGCACGAGAAAATTATGTTACAGAATTTGAAGGAAAGATTAGAAAGAAAGAAGGTACTCTCTCTCTCTCTCTCTCTCTCTCTCTCTCTCTCTCTCTCTCTCTCTCTCTTCCTCTCTCTCTCTGTTTTAGGGGATCTGATTCTTTGTTGAAAGCAGTGTTGGGCATGTGACATCCAAACACATTTTTGAATATCAGAAATCAGTGATCTGCTAGTTGGTGGTGGATGTTCCCACTTACCCTCTTCACACCTGCCCCCTTTTATCTAGAAGTGTCTCTCTTATCCACCATACTCTCCCTCCTCATGTCCCATTGGTGGCCATTACAGTGATGCTTCTTAACAAGGCCAAAGTGCAGGCTGTTCATAAGGCAGGATGACCTCACTTTGTGCAGCTCCTCTGCCTCATCCACAGCAAGGAGAAGGTCCCGTCCAGGCTGAAGGTTAGGGTTAGTTGCTGAGGTCCTGCAAGGCCTCGCCAGAGGTTAGCAACCCTCTGGAGCAGCAGCTCTCCTCACCTTCAGGGAAAGCAGCAAATGCTGGGGAGAGAATGTTTATCCTCCTCTTGCTCTTTCTAGCAGCAAAACCTCTGATGGTGTCACATCATGGCTGGGCGGGGTCGTGGGGGGGCGGCATTCTTTTTATTAACATCAACTTTCAGTCACAATCTCCTCAGACTGAAATTAAGTCAAAAGCTCTAATTGATAAGTGAAGTAATGATTTTCTGAGTCTGTAAATTTAGGATTGAGAAATTATTTGGATCTCCGTGTTAATGATAACTCAAGGCATTTTCCAGATGACTGAAACCAGGATTGGAAGAAGTCGTGTGTTGGGTAGGTCAGTGGCTTCGAAGCAGTCACTGATGCTGTCTGCTTCTGCAAGATGGGAGTAATCAGCTTCTCCAGGACCACAGTCATTGTTTTTAATCTGTTTTATGTTTGAATTTTCTTTCAAATAGAGAATTGAGGAAATCATGAAGCGGACAAGAAAGACAGATTGGAATGCCTCCAAGGTAGTCTCCGTGCCCCTACCAGCAGTGTGTATAAGGCTTCCCGTTGCTTCCCATTCTACTGGACTTTAATTTTTGCTGATCTGGTGGTGGTGAAACAATGTATCACATTTGCATTTCCTTGATGATTAAAAAGTCAAGCATGTTTTCATGTCTTTATCAGCTTTCATGTTTTACCTTGTGTGAGATGCTTGTTTAGTTTTTCATCTAAACTCTGGGCAGATGTGTCTTCCTACTTGTGGTTCTATAAATGTTCTAAATTTTACTTCTTTCTTGGTTTATGTGTTGCAGATAGCTTCTCCTGGTTTTGGCTTCCTTTTTCTTAAAGTGTCTCCTGCTGAATAGAAATTCTTAATTTCCATGTCATTGAATTTATCAGCTTAACGGAGTCAGGCGTGTTTTGAACTGGCTATTTGGAGATCACTTCTGCAAAGTGCCTTTTCAAATCCTTTGCCCATTTTTCTCTTTCATCACCTGCCTTTTTCTTGCTGATCTGCAGGAGTTGCCATCTTCTCTGGTCAACCTTGGAGGGACTGTCTCCCACCCAGGCTTTAGTTTGCCTCACTCTCCCATCATGTCTTGATAAATAGAAGTTCACTTTTGACAAACTCAAATTTTTTTTTTCCCCTTTATGGTTAGTGCTTTTTTGGATCTTGCCCCCAATGTGTCCCATCTTCGGGTAGGTCCCCTGCTTCCATGGCCATTTTTTGGCCCAGACTGTAGCTCTTCACCTGCTGCTACTATTGCCCAACTGTGGCCAGCCATATCATGGATGAGAATTTCAAATAGAAACACGTTTCTGAAAAGTGCTTGGGATCACCGTGACGAAGATCATTCAGCCCAGGGCCTGAGAAATTCAACATCCAGCACGAGTCCCACTGCTCACCCAGTGGCCCGCATTGGCCCAGGGCTTTGAGTGGGCCAACTCTAAGCTCTTCTCCTGCAGTTCCCTTTCCCATTTGGGAAATCTGTGGTCCTCAAGTGTCTCTGCCTAGTGCGCTATTGGATTTTTTTTCTTTTTTTTTTTTTTTAAGATTTATTTATTTATACAAGAACTAGGGTATAAGCCAGAGGCGCAGGAGGGTGAGAGGATTCACCAGAGACAGAGCAGGGAGTAGAACAGGCAGGCGGACCAAAGTACACTGCTAAGGGGAGCAGTGGGCGAGACAGGAGAGGTCTGCTGCGCCATGTGGGTAGCTCCCTGGCCGGCCGGGAATCGAACCTGCACTGCGGAGGCTGAAGATAGCTTTACAGCGCCACGCTCAACCCACTGCACCACCAGGGAGGCCCTGTGCTATCGGTTTTTGAGGCCAAAGAAATTAGATTTTTTTAAATCTTTTAATTAATTGAAAGGACAAAAATGAAGCGTGCATCCAGCTTGAAAGGACAGCTTTGAGATCTGTCCTCTTTGAAATAACTGGGACAGTTGATTAGTAGCCGTCGTTATGGTCGTCTTTCTCCATCGCAGGGTGTGGAAACATCCAGCAAGAGCACATATAAGCTGGACAAGGCAGATGAGGAGGACGAGGCGGATGATGAGGATGAGTCGGAGAGTGAGGGCTCTTCCAGTGACTTGCAGTCATCAGGTGCGCTTGCCTTTGCATTCTCTTGGGCTTTGCTTCACAGCTGCACTGCCTGGATTCACATCCGGGGCCTGCTCTGGAGCTGTGTGGCTTTGGGCATGTTACTTCACCTCGCAGTGCTCACTTTTCCTGTCTGAAAAAGGAAGAAGATAATGTTCTTGTCCTGGTGTGGGGATGAGAGTTCAGTGTGATGCTGAGAATAGTGCTTGGCACATTGTGACTGGTGGTGCTGCTGCTGCGGCAGCGGCGGCCGTTAGGTCACAGTTTGTGCCAATATGCTGTGGATGGTAGCCCTTAGCTGAGTGAGCGGCTCACTGGCATTTCATCACTTGGGCCATGTGTAGCATCCACAGTTGACCACGGGTGGACTTCCACTTTCCAGCTCATAGCGAAAAATGAAGATCAGATCATTCGAGTCCCCTCTAGAATGTGTTGTTGAGTCCTTGATGTGTAGGAACCACTTTCTGGCAGCAGTGATTGTCACTGGAGAAAATACTGTCCATGCTTTATTCCCGCAAGTAGATTTTGAACGTGCAGATCGGGTGCTCTGCTAGGTGCTGGGGACACAGAGATGAAGAGGCACAGTCCCAGGCTCGAGGCACCATGGCCTTCCAGACACAGACCTATGAGCAGTGATGTGGCCACAAACTGGGGGCGATAAAATGCATGGAAAGGTTGCATGAGGAGCCCCTGGGTCTGCCATAGCACCTGGGGGAAAGGTTGGGGTGAGGGGTAACATTGGAGGTGACTTGGCTAGGTTGTAACTGGGAGGAGGAATGGGAAGTGGGGTACACTCCTGCCTTTGCACTATCATCCTTTCCTAGCAGGGGAAGGCCCTTAAAGGTGATCCCTGTGGGCTTTGAGGGCGGGGCCATGTGTGTGCTCGGCCAGGACTCCAAAAAATGGAAGGTGAAACTGCTGAAGCCTGGGCTACTGGAGTGGGGGCTGCCGGGTCTGGCTTCCAGGATGCTGGGGATGGGGTGCTGCCAGTGGGAGTGCTGCTGGGTTCTTCCTACTAGCAGACAGACACCCCTCTCCCAGCTCAGCAGGATCCTAGCCTTCAATTTTTTTTGTCGTTTTATTTACTCTTGTTCCTCTTTTTGCTTCTAGCCTTTGTAAATAGCATGCATTTACCCACAAAGCCCAAAGTACATTTTAAAAATGCAAGGAAGAAGGCACCCAAACTTGTGTTTTTAGATGCCACTTCTAGCCACATCAATAAAGAGACAGAAGCATTTTTAAATGGTGACGTGAAAACCTTCAGACAACAAAGTGAGAAAGACCCTTTGGCTCAAGCGAAGGGCAGCAGGTGAGCCACTCGGGGAGTTTGGCAGCATCGACTGGATGGGGAGGCAGTTGGCTTCAAGATAGCACCGCGGGATTTGTGACAGAACTCTTAGGATACACTGTATCAGGCCCTGGACTTACAGGAACAAACCACTCCCCAGGAAAGCCTTGCTGGGCAGGGATCAGCATTCCCATTGTTACAGACAGGGAAGCTGAGGGCCAGAGAGGTCACTGGCCTGATTTCCTCACAATCCCACTGTTAAAGGGCAGCCCCCATTCAAATCCAGGTCCTTCAGACTCAAGCACTTTTGTACATAGTTAATGTTGTCTCATGAATCAGGGAAGAGACATTGGTTGAGTGACTGCTGTATGCCAGGCATTTTACACCCCCTATTTTAATTCTCATTGCAACTCTTGAGCTCCATATTTATGTTCTCAGTTAACAAATGGAGAAACTGAGGACCAGAGGTTAGGTCAGAAGTACAGAACAGATAAGCTTGGAAAGGAAGATTCCTAGCCTATGGGGCTAGAGGGCTCACAGGGCAGAGGCTGTGGGAAGAAGGATCTGCCAAGAAGAGGTGCAGTGATGGTGAGGGAAGGTCACCAGAGCTATAGGCCCCACTTTGGTCCCTACCTCTCAGACTCTAGCCCCAGGCCTTTCCGTGGAAGCCCAGGGCTTAATAGCACGCCATCAGGAAGCCACTGTTCTCCATCTCCAAGGGCCTTCCATTCTGTGATTCTGAAAGAAGTTACCAGATGAAGCAACTTATAGGACAGTGTCTTGGTTTGGGGAAAGTCAGCATTCTAACCAAAACATCTCTTGCCAGACCATCCACCAAAAGAATGACCAACCGAACAGCAAAATCCAGAAAGGCAAACAAAACTACTAAGACCTTGGGACCTTCCAAGAGTTCCCATTCACAGGCACAGGATTGGGTATCTGATAAGACTGTTGACATCGTAAGCGAAACAGAACCATGTGTGTCCAGTATCCCTCCTTATAGCCAAAAGCACAACCTGGAAGTTTCCACACTATCTCACCAAAGGGAGGTGTCTTTAGATGTCAAGAAAAACAAATCCGTCTCTGCTCAACCTGGTAAGTCCTCATCCATTTCCACTTTGCTGGAAAGGCAATTGTTCTTGACAGTCTGCTTGACAGTCCCAGGACTCTCTGGGCACCTTGTAACTTTGGAGACAGAGCAAACAGTGGTGGGTTAAAAGGCTGATGTTAAAGAGCCATCCATTAAGTTAGTTTGAGAGAGCAGATAACTTGATTCTAACTTGTGTCACCGACATTTCCTGTCCCATTGACAAAGATTCATTTCAAACCCCACATCCCTCAGATTCCACTTGACAGCACACAGGTTATCATTTGGGCCAGAGGGTTAGTGAGGGCTTTGGAATTGGTCCCTCAACCTGTTTCCAAAACCTAAAGACCTTTGCTTTTCTTTCCTTGAGAAGCCCTCTTTGAAATAAATAGCAAAGCAATTTGGACCTTTTGGGGTCTAGGGAACATTTATACAAGTATCAGCATAGCAGCAGTTAAGGGGGTAGGAAGGGGGCGGGCCAGGGCCAAGTGGCAGTGAGACCAGCATCTCCTCTACTCATCTTTTTCTTTTCTCTCTGTCAGATATATAACTCAACCCCGTGCACCCTGGAAGAGGATTCACACTCCTACTCTGGATTTCGGCTTCCAGGCCCACCACCCAAACTTACTGTACCTCTGACTCAAACATGGCAGAGACTGACCATCACAGTAAAAAGGAAACAAGAAGTGACCCTAACCTCTCTCAGAATATGCTCGTGCCATCTTGTCTCCGACCCACCAGGGTTCTGAGTAAAGGTGCTGCTTTTTTCCTGTAAAAATCTCCTGGTCTCTCATTCTTGGGTTTTCCAGCCAGGGTGTGAGTGTGCATCAGGGTGTCCCTATAAAATGTTAACTCTTAAGTTTCTGAAAAAATCTGTACCAAAGGAATGCTTTTATGTCCATTTATGTTTGAAATCTCAAGATATTTATTCTGTGTCACAGTTCAATTAGCCATTGAAAACCACATCCCAATCTTGTGGCAGCGCTAACATGCGTAGACGCTTACAGGGACTTTGGTGGATTGCTTCCCATGTACTGACACCGAAGGTTGCAAAATGGAGGAGATCACACGGTACCTTGTGACTGACTCGGAATTGTGTTTCTAACTAACGTTTTAAACTCTGCCGTAGTCTGCCAGCTGGGGTTGCCCTCAGACCTCCAAATGCCGGGAGCCTGAGAAGCATGACCCAGGAATGGTTCGCACCTTCAAAGTGCATGTTGGTGAACTTGAAGCCTGTTCAACTGTTGTTTGGTGTGTTTAATTCCACTAAAGGTGAACTCTGTCTCTGTGCTTGTGCTCTGCTGCGCTGGGAAGCGGACCCCAAAGGTGCTTGATTTCAGTAGCCTCTGGCTGCAAGTTGGGTGCCGGAGCAGCAACCTTATTCTGTCCTGGTGATGGGTAGGGACGCATGTGGTGTGTGTCCTGAAATCACTGTGACTCCTGCTTAAACTTTAACATTGACCAAAATGTATTGTCCTAATGCTAATGAATGTTCGGGGACTCACAAGTGTCTTGCATCCTTTTCTAGCCCCAGAGCTGCATTAGGACAAGGAAGTCATTCTTCATGACTCCCCAGTTCTTTGCTATTCAAAGGACTGCACATTTGTTAGAGATTATAGCTTGGTGCCTTGGATTTAAAGACTAATTTTCTATGCTAGCTTTTATATAGAAGGCAGAGATTCCTCACAAATGAGTTCCTGCTCTTTTTCTGCACAAATGTCATGTGTTGAAACACTGTTAAAGCTCCAGGTAAATGTGTGCTCTTTGAAATAAACTTTGCAGCTACAACAAGCTGTCTCTTCATTATAGTAAAATAACGGGTATTGGTGGTGGAATAAAGGAGACACCAACCATTCACCAAAATGAATGCAAGCGGCCTGCCTGGTCTGGAAGTAGTAACCACAGCTTCTGGTGCCCCTTTTCAGCTAGTTGGTGACTTGGCAGACTCCAATTGTGTGACATGACGACATGGATGTTCCAAATGGTCTTCCTGTGTCCAGTTCATAGCCTCCGACTCTTCTCTGAGATGCCTCGAGGTCCTTGAGGCCAGTGATGGAAGTATCTTTTTACTGGGATAAAATTCACATGTCACCACTGGGTGGCATTCTCCGAGGCAGGCAGCCATCACCACTAACTAGTTCTGGAATGTTTTCATCACGTTATAATGAAACCCTGTATCTTTTAAGCAGTCCTGTCCCCACCCCCTGGCCCCTCGAAACCTCACCATCAGCGCTGACCTGGGAGGAGGCATGCACCCCTATTTTTTACAGGCTAGTTGCACTGTTACATATACTTTTTTTTTTAAAGATTTTATTTTTAATTTTTTTTTAAAGATTTATTTGTTTATTTATTTATGCAAGCACTGGGTACAGTCAGAAGCATGGGAAGGCGAGAGAATTCACCAGAGCCAGAGCGGGGAGCAGAGCAGGCAGAAGGACCGAAGTACACTGCTGAGGGGAGCAGCGGGCGGCAGGAGAGGTCTGCGCGCCATGTGGGACCCTCCTCCGGCGGCCGGGGAGCATCCGGGGATCGAACCAGCACTGCAGAGGCTTTGGGCAGCTTCACAACCCAGCACTCAACCGCTGCGCCACCAGGGAGGCCCTAAAGTTTGATTTATGCACACAAGAGCTGGGGTGTAGGCCAGAGGTCTGGGTGTGGTGGTGGTGAGAGGATTCACCAGAGACAGTGGGAGTGGAACAGGCAGATCTACTGAAATACACTGCTGAGGGGAGCAGTGGGCGAGACAGGAGAGGTCTGCTGTGCCATGTGGGTCACCTCCCTCCCCGGGGATTGAACTTGTGCTGCAGCAGCTGCGAATAGCTTCATAGTTCTGAGACTTAACCCCTTGCGCCACCAGGGAGGCCCGACGACATACACATTATTAATGACATCACTGTTGTGTGGCAAGACTGACATTCTGATCTGCCTATAAATGCTTAGTTTCCAATCTTGAAAAGCAGCTTTACTCCACCAGGTTTCGTTTTGAATAAGCCAAGATCCTTGTTTATCTTTGGTCTTTGGGCTTTGGGGACCTGGTGGTAGCTATTCCCCACTTAGCACAAGCTAGATACACCCATGTCTCTGTAAGGCACCACCTTCACGTTTGGCATCTGAGCCAGAACCTTCCCAACTAGGTATGGTCGGTCACAGAGCTGTCGGCTGGAACTGTTGGGCCAGGCTATTCCCTGGCACGTGCACATCCTGTTCACAGTTCCAGGTAATGGATACTGACCTAGTCTCACCCTAGACCAATAGCCTGGAGCCTGGCAGGGGTCCCATGGGTTACCATATGGGTACCCTGTCCCCCGAGGAGCAGCTCCCTGGCCTCTGTAGCAAGCATATTACTCCTGTGTGGGTTGGCACAACTTGGGATGGCAGCCACAGAAACAGTCCAGACTCCTGAGACGTGTACTGCAGGCTGTGTGTAGACCGAATCCTAGCACAGCTGACTGTACACACAGCCCTCCGAGTGCTTGTTGGGCAAGTTCAAAGGCTGCACCCTAATCTTGGGGTCCTTTCCATTTTGAGGAATCACTACTCACTGTGGCAAGAACCCAGAAGCTGGGTTCACACTTTTCCAGGGGTCAATTGCCTATGTATCCCATCCCACTCTGGGGCCCCACACCCAGCAGGCCTGGTTGGTTGAAGCAGGCCCCAGAAAGTCTATCTTCCCACCAAGCCAGTTCCAGTTGTTTCCAGGTGGCATGTCGTCATTTCCCCAAGCATTGCAGTAACTAGTTGTGTCCTCAAGGACCTGCTATGTGCCAGGGACTGCTGCGCAGGTGGTACTTGAAATGCTCACAACCAGCCCGTGAGGTGTGGATTTGCATGTATACCTGGATTTGTGGAGACTGGCAATTGTTCAAGGTCACACAACTTGAAGAGGCAGAGCTGATGCTCCAACCCAAGTCGGTCCGATTTCTAGGGCCCACAGACCCATATCACGTGATCTTAGGACAGGAACAGTATGGCTTACAAGACAGGAAACACTGTCTTTTGTAGTAATCAGATCATGGCTAACATTTTTTTTTTTTTTTGCGGGACCCTCACCGGTGGCCAGGGATCGAACCGGCGCTGCAGAGGCTGTGGGCAGCCTCGCGACCCAGCGCTCAACTGCTGCGCCACCAGGGGAGGCCCCGTGGCTAGCATTTAATAGCACCTCATTAGGTGTTGCCCCCTGGCCCCCAGCACTTCTGTATTATGTAATCTGCATGTGAATTCTACCTGGCATTTTACAGGCCAGGAAACAAGTTCAGAGAGGTTAGGAAACTGGCCCGTGGTCTCAGCTAAGAAAGCAGCAGAATTTGAACCCAGACAGTTGAGCTTCAGAGCCCACCCTGTTAGTCACAGGTAGATAATATTCTTGATATTCTGATCCCCTTAATTATGACTGAGAAGTTTTCTTTGCTTAATTGTTGATAACTAGAAATTTCTCCTTCCTCCTGAGCCCCAGGGTATCAGAAGAACATATTCCACCCACACAAGTGCTTCTAATTACTTTACCCTGAGCAAGCCATTTCTTTATTGTGATGCTTCAGATCTTGTCCCTGCCCAGAGGATGCTCACCCTTCAGTGGCTATGCAGTCTCTGGAGCTATAGGCTCAAAGTAAGCCTAGGAGGGTGGTTAGGTCACCTAATTAGCTGTGTGACCTTAGGCAAAACTCTCAACCATTCTGAACTTCAGTTTTCTCATGTAGAAAGAGAAGGCGCTAGTGCAGTTGTTAGTGTTGGTTGAGGATGAATAGCTCAAGGGTGGAGGACAGGCCTCCAGTGGCCAGCAGGAACTGGAAGCCTGTTTCTGGGTGAGGAAGAGGGGAGGTGGTTTTCTGGGACTAGAACTAGGGGGAATGAGGGGCTGGTGACCGAGGGGATTTGAGGCAGCCGCTCTGCTGGTGCCTGCAGGCCATGCCAGTGTGGCTTTCCCTCAGGCCAGCTCTTCCACCATGGTGTGGGCTGGGGTTTGGCGGGTCCATTGGGATAGAAAGGCAAAGGGGGACAGATTGAGGGGGGAGAGGTGGTGGCAGTGATAGAGCACAAAATGGAGGGCAGACAGGAAGTTAGGGCGAAGGAGCTGAGGAACCTGGGCCGGTGGAGGGCACTGCAGAGGTGGGCGTGGGCTCTCGCTGGGGAGAAGGGATGAGCAGGTGCAGAAGTCCTCAGTGAAGGGGAGCGGCGCCCTCTCCATCCCAGGTTCATCCCCTATGGGCGCTTCCCCGCCACAGCCTCAGTATCCCAGGTGACTCAACTACCCACTCCACCCCTGCTTTTTTGAGCCCCCAGAAGATGATCAGATACTCATTGTTTTAAATGCTAATGACTCAAGGGACACACACACACACACACACACACACAGGGATGTTCCCCATTCAGAAAAAATGTTCTTGATTTTTGCTTTCTGCTGACAGGTTGATTGACCTCCAGCACCGTCCATGTTGGCAAGGGGTCTGCCCCTGTCCTTACTATCCTGGGGATGGCGCTCTCCTCCCTCTGCCTTTAGCTGAAATGCTTTCCTGGGCACCTGTTCCACCGGGCTAGAAGTGTAGTCTTGCACCAACCTCGGTGGTGGGGACAGGGCTGGAGAATCAAGCGCCAGGCCCAGTGGGTGGCAACGATGTGGAAGCTCCCACCTCCACCTCAACCCACACGTCCCCTAGCCAACTGAAGCGCATGGGCGGACCCAGCTTCCCAAATAAGCACCTCCACAAGGGGCACAAGATTCCCTTGAAGGCCAGAGGCTGGAGGAGCCGCAGCTGAAGACACAGCTGTGTTCAGCATGACCTGAGCCTCAGGGCCGGTGAATCAGCCAGGATTCCTTTCCCACTCCCACCACCCCGACCCAAGAGTATCTAATTGCCCTTTTCAAGGGCTGTGAACATCTGGGCAATGCTCTTGGGTAGAGTGGAGTTTTTAACTGGTTATGAGCACATGTTTTGTTTACAAGTCCTATGTTCCAAGGAGTTGAACTGAACTGAGGATGTCCCTGAAGGCAGGAGCAAAGTCACTCAGGTTCCCGGGCCAGCAGTAGGACCTTATAGCCATTCCACAGCACAGAATGAAGACAGGAGGCAAGTTATTTATATGCTGCTTTATTTCTGTAACGATACACTGAAACGTTAGATGATAATAGCTAATGACAAAATGGAGAAATGAGGATTCGCTTGGCTAACCACTCCTACGAGAATGTTAATACGTATTGTCATTACAGGTTACTCTGTATCATCTCATTAAACTATGTAAGATAACAATGTCGATAGAATACAGTAAGTAGGTGATCCTGCGTCTCGGGTAAGCACTAGGTGGTGCTCAGTCCCGCCTGTGATGAGGACAGTGGCCTCCCTACTTCCTCAGAGAGCCAGCTAGGCCCTTGAGGAACGGTCCTAAGAATCGTGAGAAGGGACTGGGCGGGCCTCTAGCACAGGGACGACGAGCAGACAACTACTATGTTACAAGGGGTTCAACTTGGCACTGTCTGGAAACGTCACGTCGGTGTCAATGACAGCCCTGGCGCCTACTCAGCGAGCCCTCTAGAGGGTGACTGGTTACTTCTGTAGGTGACTTTTAAAACTGCAGGAACGTCTGAGGGGACTAAAATATTTTCATGCAAGTCTCCAAACCCATAAACTATGTTGCTATTAGTTAAAACAAAAATATCATTAATTCAAAACAAAGAAAAAGAGACAGTTGGGTTAGTTTTGTTAGGCTTCCAGAAGGGTCGGCCGTGATGATGTTCCTCTGAAACAGGCTCGTTTTTCTCAGCTCCGCCTACACTTTGTCAATCACCTGCATGTTCCACCCAAAGCAGGAACGCTCAGAAAACACGCCACCCCGGGGAAATAAAATGTTAGTACAGGGACAGGTCAGTGGAGAACAACAGCTAAGTTCAAATGTTAATTTTCTGGAAGTTTGTGTTAGTCATTTGCAAGCGCAGAAGAACAGAAGGAAGGTTTTTGATAAGGAGGCTAAACCATGCATTTCCGAAAGTTCTTTCTGCTCACAAAACAAGGTGAGCAGCCGAGTTGGAGCAGCCGCTGCAACTCGTGGGTCCCAGCTGAGCCCCCAGGGGCATCTCAGCAGGGGCTGCGTCGCTTATGCTTCAGGCTTACATCACTAAGCGGCTACATGGTCAGCACTTTTCTGCTCTATGAGAAACATGCAGAAGTGTCAATCTATCTACGCACTGGTGGTTTAACTGCAGCGATCAAAAAATTAACTTCGCTGCCGTGTTGCTTTTTCTAAATGCTAATGCGATCACGGTGTGCCTTTATTCGAGCAATTCTGTAAAATGGAACAAAGACAGGAGGAGCAACTTGGAGGAGGTGGAAGCCACTCTTTCCCTAAGGATGGTGCAGGGCAGAGGGCAGGGGCACAAAGAACCAAACTGAGATTCCATCTTACAGGACAGGAGCCCCTGTCAGGTTACAGCTTTTTGGCACAGTCGGGGCAATAGACTTGCTCCTCGTGGAAAACGAAGCGCTTGTTGGCCAGATTCACGGAGCATTTTTTGCAGTGGAAGCAGTAGTCGTGCCAGGATTGTCCTTCATAGGCCACCACACTGGAGCCTTTACCAAACCCTGTGGAGAAAACAAAGAAAACAAAAGGGACAGCTGAGTGGACACCGGCGAGCGCCCCACCGCCGCCGCCGCCGCCAACCGGGCTGCTCGCAGCCAACAAGCACGCCCGGGCCGCGCCTGCCCGGCTCCCGGCCCCGCCCCCGCACCGTGCACGGGCCCCCGCGCCGCCGACGCCCTGCTCCAGCTCTCCAGGACCTGGGAAGATGCCGGAGTTCGTCCAAGGGCTCCCCTGATTTACAGGCCCCACGCTCCCGCGCCACCGCTCTCGCCCTGCGCCGCGCGCCGACCGCCCAGCATAACCGCTTGCTCTGATTTAGGTCAGGGCCATGGCATCAAAGTGGCCACCAGGAGGCAAACTTGGGCTGTTCGCGGGGTGTGCACTTACCGGGCCTCGAGGAGCTGCTAAGCTTCGATTTTTTCTATAAAGAACCACCACCCACGAGGGACAAGTCCTCTCTCCACCCGGATGCCTGCCCCGGAGGTTGGCGCTGGGAAACAGGGTGAGAGGCAAGCGTTTCCCGTGGCACACTGGGGGCTTCCTAGCTTTAGAGACTGGGTGGCTCACTCTTGACACAGTCCTTTTCCCTGAGGATGGCAAAAGTCTTCTCAAATGTACATTTCAAGGCTCCCCGGGGAGACGGGAAAAGTGGAGGTGGGGGAAGGACCCAGGGCACGTGGATCGCGGCGCGAGATGAGCAATGGAATGAGTGGCTTGGCTGCTGCTGGCAAGATCACCGCCCGCGGGCACCTCAGGCTAGCCTTCCGCTAGGGGGCGCTGTCCTCCCAGCTTGGGCCTCTCCGGCCCCCCCCACCCGCCCCCGCCCGCCCCGCGCCGCCTCCCCTCCCCACACCCCTCCCTCCCCGGCGCAGTGCCTGCCAGTCTCAGGCTGGTGAACTCCGGCAGCGACAGGAGTTAGTGAGCAGTTGTCAGCGAGTGTTCTGTGTTGCAGAGGCTAACCTGGCCTGGGGGGCGAATCCGAACTATTGAGGGGCCTTCGGGACCACCATGGTAGGGAGGAGGGCATTCTTTGGGGCCTTTGTGGATGAGACCGACGAGGTAGGAAAATGAGAGATGGTTACCATGCGCAAAACCTAGCCTGGCAGACTTAGCAAGGACTCTTTAGCCTACCAGTGATGGGGTTCTTGCATCCAGCACACTTCTTGGCCACAAAGTTCTTGTAGCAATCCACGCAGTAATACTGGTCCTCCACAGCGGTGAAACGCTGCCCAGCCAGCTTCTTAGAGCAGGTAACACACACAAAGCACTCCGCATGCCAGGGCTGATCCTGGTAAGTGATTCCTCCAGATGTGATGGCCTAGACCAGGGAGTGTAGCACCGGATTCAGATTCAACAACCGTTTTGTTGAATGCCTACTACGTGCCAGGCACTGTGCGGGGCGCTTTGGTATACAGTATCTCATTTAATCGCCACAACAGCCATGGGAGGCAGGTGCCGTTATTATCCCCGAGTTACAGATGAAGACACCGAGGCTCAGAAAAGGCGAGCTCAGGTGCTGACAACAGTGGGCCTCTAGAGCTGCAGTCAGCAAGCCTTCGGCCCACACACTGCTTCCTACTACCACAGTCTCCTCATCTGTAAAATGGGAATAATAATTCCCACGTCGCAGGGCTGTCGTGAGGATGGAATGGGATAGTGTGTGTGCAAGTGCTCTGCCCACTGTCAGAACGCTTCTGGAAACACGCAACTCCCTCGACAACATACCTTGTTGCACTTCACGCAGTGCTTCGCAAATTTGGCCTCGTGGCAAGTCACGCAGTAGAAGTCCTCCCCTTTCGGGAAGAAGCTTCCAGTCCCGATGACTTGCTTGCAGTGGCTGCAGATGAAGCAGTCTTTGTGCCAGATGGTCCCCTTGTACTCCACATTTTGATCTCCTGCAGGGGGGAAGCCATTGGATAGCCCCACTGACAGGGCCCTGCAGGGGGCTGCATCCACTCAGCTCCCCCTGGACCCTCCGGAGATGAGGAAATGCAGGCCCTGCAGTTACTGGCCTCACGCTTCCCAAGAACCTGCCCATGGGTGGGGGTGGGGGGCATTCTTGACCACGACCTTCTTGCTCTTGTGCCAACCCAGATGCTGTCAGGGGAGGGGCCCCAGCTGCAGTGCTTTAGGATCAGATGTCTGAGTCCCCACTCCCCCCATTGACCTGTGTGCCACTACCTGACCCCAAATGACACCCTAAGGAAGAAGCATGCTTAGTCACTTACTCTCCCCAAATGAGAAAGCGCTACATACTTTTCAGTTCTTTCTCTTGCCACAGACAGTTCTCTCCAGTGTTCTTTACTTCCGAGTGTATGCGTGTGTGCGAGCATATATGTGTACGCATATATACGTGGAGATATATGCGTGCATATATACGCTAAGCTACAAGCAGCCCCCTCCTCACCAGCCAGCCCACATCACTTCTGCCCTTAGGGCCTCCTCCCTGGCTGCCCCGGGGGAAGAGCGTTGGCAGTACCTGCCACGATGGGCTTCGAGCACCCCTTGCACGTGGGGGAATCATCCTTCGTAGCACACTTGTTGCACAGGATCTTGTACTCCTTGGCCACAAAGGTCTCATTGGCCAAGGGGCGACGGCACTTGGTGCAGTGGAAGCAGGTATCATGCCAGTGGCGAGTCTTATAGTTCACCTCCTGGGAAGGAAGCAGATCATGGGTCACCAGGAGTGACTCGGCGGCGGGGCCTTGCCATCAAGGTGAGCTGCCCGGGAGCTGACTGCCGAGGTGACACTTCGCGACCCTCCCCACGCCGTCCCAGGCGGGCGGTCTTGCCTGAGCCACATTCAGTGACAGACAATGAGGTGAGGAAGGGAGACTGGATTCTGGAAACACTGGAGAGCACAACCCAAGGAGACCCGAGGCCTGAGTGCACAGCCCCTCCACGTCCTGCCTCGCAGGCTAGGGACCCCGCAAGGTCCCTCCTCCCCACGGGCTGCGGGAAAGCCACCCTCGCGAGACAGGCCTGCCCCATCCCCATGCCAACCTCCCCTTACCTTGGAGTCCGCTCCGATGGGCTTGTGGCATTCCACGCAGGTGTTGGCACAGAACTTGTCGAAGCAATTCACGCAGTAGTGGTGACCCTCCTTGTGCACGTACTTCTTCCCCTGCAGGGCTGCCCTGCAGTAGTAGCACTCAAAACTCTCAGTCATGGTGCCTACCTTGTGGCTGGTGGGACCTGCGGGGGCAAGCAGGTGGGACAAATGACCGCGTGCAACTCCAGGACACTGGGTCACAGGGGCCTCCAAGGATGGCTGCCCCTAGGCTGGCAAGGCAGAGGCGCCACAGACCCTGCACTACAAGGAAGCCCCTGATGGAGCCTGGCGAGCCAATGGCCAGTCAGCCTCTGCGGACAGGGAGACGCCGCCGCTGGGCTGCCTCCCAGAGCACATGCCGTGGGGGCAGGGCTGGGGTTCTGGGAGGAGCTGGCCCTGGGGCAGTGATGTGAACGAGGCCAAGGCCATGATGGAGCATGCGAGAGAGAAGAAACAGTTTTACACAGCACAGCACACAACTTGGGGCCGCTCCTCCTGCTGTGGTGACTTGAAGGGAAGATGCTCTGCCAGGTCAGTGACAGGCTAGCTGGCCCGCACAGGATGGCCCTCGGAGCAGGGAGAAGCCTGTACCCTCTGCTTCAAGGGCTAAGTTTCAGAGAGTGAGCCAGAACCTCCCTGCCAGCTTCAGGCCCTTCCTCTGTACCTTGGCGGGGGAGGGTGGGGGGTGGTGAAGACAGCACCCTCGCTTTCCTCCTATCTAAAATTCAGCTCATTGGAATGAAAACTTACTGCTGCCAGGCATGCAGGCAATCCTTATTAATTTGTGTATGATGTTGGCCTTTACTTAAAATGTGACAGAACCTTTTTAAAATCCCTGAATGGATCCTAAAGAATTTTCTCCAAGACAGTGAGTGTTCTGACTTTTGAGGCCTCAGCGACCAAGCCATACAGGATGCATAAGATCGGCCTCCTCGATGGGATGGGTGCCGGCAAGTTCTGCAGCTGTGAGTTGTTTGTCACTCTAGTGTGGTTGGGTCGCATGCCAAGATCAGAATCCGCCCCCCCCCACCCTTGTTCAAGCAAGTGACAATCAACAGTCGGTGAAGTGTTACTATTTTGAACACTTGCTGCTTTAAATATGGCAATTTTCAAGTATGAGCTGGAAAAGAAATCCTTTAAGGGCCTCCCCGGTGGCGCAGCGGTTGAGCGCTGGGTTGCGAAGCTGCGCGCGGCCTCTGCGGCGCCGGTTCGATCCCCGGCTGCTCCCCGGCCACCAGAGGAGGGTCCCACATGGCGCGCAGACCTCTCCTGCCGCCCGCTGCTCCCCTCAGCAGTGTACTTCGGTCCTTCTGCCTGCTCTGCTCCCCGCTCTGGCTCTGGTGAATTCTCTCGCCCTCCCGCGCTTCTGACTGTACCCAGTGCATGTATAAACAAAACAAACAACAAACCAGCAAACAAATAAATAAAGCATGCCTCTATAAAAAAAAAAAAAAAAAAAAAAAAAAGTGCTCAGCTGATTATTCCGAGAACGCCTTCCACTGCCTTCATGGGAACAACGCCCCTTTCTTGCCCCCCATCCCAGAGTGTAGTCATGAGCTCTGCTAGCTCAATCCTGCTGCCAGAAAGGTACCAAAAGTGAGTTTCTATTCGCTCTCAGCTTCTTTAAACATATGCTCCCTCCCTGAAAAGGAAACTCGCACCCAGTAAATAAATACCAACTTCTTAATTTGCACAGGAAACATGAAAATTTAGATTGCTTTCTCCACCCACCCCCAAACATGGTTCAGTGCTAGAGAACACCCGGAGCGCCAGTAGGAAGAACCAGGGAAAAGGAGTAAGAGCAGCCCCATACTCACCGCAGCTCCTCCACCAGCTGAATGGCCCCAAGCTCCCGCTTCGGGTCCCATTCCCAGTTTCTTTTTTTTTATACAAACACATGTCCAAGTTGTTTGGATCCTGTTGCCAGAGGCAACCAAATAGCAAAGAGTGAGCTAAGGAAACCACACCCTGCATCACCGAACCCGCCTCCGTGAACTCTCACTCAGAACCAGGTCCCTTCCTGAAGCCAGCCTCCGAACAAAGGGAACCGGACCGCTGGCAAGCAGTATGTTCTGGGCCAGCCACAGCTCCTGTTCCTGCTGACACCCAGACAGACCCCCTCACCTCCAGATACCTGACCACAGCAGCCAAGAATGACGTTCGCGCGCAAAGGCAGCTGCTTTCCAGCTGTGTTACACAGAGTTCAGAGATTTATTGAGACCAGAGAACAATTCTTTCTGTCACTTCCCCCCCACCCCCCAAAGAAAACCAGGATGTTCCCTTGCATAATTAGATTAGCAACAAAAAAGTAGAGATGCAACGCAACATGGGTCTACCTCCTGGAACTCAGCACTGTTTGTGTAAGGCATCTCTAGCCTCCGTGTGGATGAAAAAAAAGGGCCAGTCCCACCACAGCACGTGAAAATCACTCTCCTTAATTCATTCTTGCTGGCCTTTCACATGTCGTATAAAATATTTGCCTTAGTAGCTTTACCACCCTGAATCTGTGCCCTCAACAAAGATTTACTTTTTTGTTAAGAGCTGAGTAGAGAAACCAAATAAATCTCCAGTAACAGTAAAAGCCAGAAAATTAAATTATCAGTGGCTCCTAAATGCCATTTGGCAGGAAATCAGAATTTGTAAGATTAGATAGCACTGGCTTCCTTCATGGCTAATAACTACAGCTGGTTTAGGCCTTTGGAAAGTAGCTTCTTGGACAACATTTTAAGTCCCTCATTCTTCCTTACCAAAAGTCAGTAATTAAAACTTAACTTTGGACCCTACTCATTTTAATATCTCTCTCCACTCTTGTCTTTCAAAGAAGAAATAGATTCCACATAATTCTGTATTAATATCATACAGAGTTCCGTATCAGCAGTCCTACTCCTTGTGGTATTTCTGAGTCCTAGGATTCCCGATGAAAAGTCTAGGTCAATTACAATGATATGTTAATTACAATACTGTCATACAAAAAAAAAAAAAAGATCACTACACTAGAAAACAGTGACCTCCATTCAGAGGTATTAGAGTAAAAGGAGAACTACCTGAGGCATCTTAACTGCTAAGTCTTTCCCACTTTAAAACCACATAAATTCAGTTACATCCCCCCCAAACAATCTTATTCATCGCTTACTCTCTTAATTCTAGGTTCACTCAGTTGCTAGGTATCCAGATGATGAAACAATCCCATGGACATGGAAGCAACAGAATGTGTTCAAAATGGAGTCAACAAAGTGGCTCTGGCTGCGAGCATTCCCACGATACAGGCTCTTCAGTCCAGCAAAAGAAGAGTAAATGAACCAGCCCTAAGCTAATGGCCCCACGAAGGGGAGTTCCACCTCGAGGAGTTTCAGAGTGTCAGCATTAGGTATTATTACTTTTTCTTTCTGTAGTATGAGGAATCCCAGGTCACCTTAAGCCCAAATAGTCTGTAACCAGACGGAGAAAGGGATTTCATAGGGCATATCCTTTATCCTTTCAAACTGATTTCCACAGGGAACTCAAGCCTGTCTCATGGGTATGGAAACACTTATTTGTTGAGATGGAATAGATACTTCTAGGAATGGTAGCTCTATTGCCTAATAAGTAGACAGGCTGGAAATTCTTAAAATATGTTAACAATGTCGATGTCAAATTCATGAACTTTAGTACTTTTTTTTGCAATAAATCCATTTAAGTGGAACTCTGGGCAACCTGAATTAGCTTATCCAACCTTACGATTATTTCGTCCAAAACTATTTCAAACCTCCAGGCAGCATGCTTAGAATGAAGTCTGAGTAATACATTCCTGCCTACGTGATCGTTACCGCGTCAAAACTGCAGAAAATATGGACAAAGTGTACAAAACAAAAATATTTTTTTACTATTTATCTTCAAAGAGGTTAACAACTCTAAGAAAACAGCTCATAAATGACAAACACTGAGACAGACAGGGCTTCCAAAAGGCAGCAAATGCCCTTACAAGAGTGTGAGCCGGTTTAAGCTTTGACTTCCCAGAAAGAAACTTTGCACTGGCCTTTTTTTCTGTGTTAGAAATGAGAATAGAAAAAAATGCAGATGGTATTTTACCTCTTCCTTGGCGTTCTCTTGGATCTTACTGAATTATATAGATTAGGGTATTCATCTCTTCGGGAAAGCCTTTTGACTTCCTCAGCAATTTCTAAGTTCATGAAACATCAAGTTTTTTAACCTTCCCAAACTTTCAGCTCTGTTTGCCTTGCTCTGTTGCTGTTACATACGATTGTTACATATGAAATACTAGACAGATGTCATTGCAACACTCACTACCCCCCCTGCCCTCCTGTCTTCATCCAGGACATGTTAGCCAAGTGTAGGTTGCTGACCAACTTGAAACTCATGGTGGGGCCCTCAACAAGGTTTCTCTATCACAGCAACGTTCACAAATACAAGAGATCCTTGAATAGCACTGTTTCATTATAATGATGTTTAACGTTGAAGAAGACGTTATTCAAGGACCTGGTTTTGTTACACGTCATTGTGCTTAAATTTGCAGTTTCCAAAAACTAGGAGCCCCTAGGACTTAATTCAGAGGCTTGTCTGCGAGAGTCACACAGTCAGTGCCTGTTGTTTAGGGGCAGCTCCTGAGAACCTAGCCAGTAGGCCTTTAGAGACTTAAGGGGTTAGAGTGCACTTAGAAATGTGACTCAGTGATCAAATTTTAGATATTTAATCTAAGATGGTAGCCTGACTTTCTTGCTATGCCTGTTTCAAAAGACCCATCATTCCTCACTTAATAAACAAGCTTCCTCTTTCAGAAAATTCCTGAACTACATCCAACAGGCTGAGAGGTGCCTATGTAAACGTCAGTATCTCAGTGAAAAGTTTTGCCTTACAAACTAATCAAGTACACATGAGTAATATAACATTGCAAGACGTTTTTCTTATAAACCTCTCATTAGAGAAGATTCAATTTGTATTTAATAGTCTTCCTTGAGTTTTAATGTGTATTTTCTCAGGTAGTTATTGCTCATGTTCATTTTCCCCTTTATACCCAATTGACTCCAAATAAGAAGCTTGAAGGAAAACGTGAATGACTAGCCTTTTTCTAACCCGGGTGGTATAACGTACAGTGTAAATGAACAGCAACCCAAATGGGGGGAAAACCTAGGTTATTTCTGCTCTG